ATCCTGCAGGAAGGAGGGATAGGATGGGATTATGCGTAGTCAACTCTAATGGTTTGGAGGGATCAGAGTAAGGGAAAGCTGGTAAGACACGTAGGAAAAGAGGCAAGAGGAAGAGAAGGGGAAAGGATGGGGGAGAAGCTCTTAGTGGCCTTGTGGCTGCAAGAAAGCTATATATTACCAATATACATGTGACTCTGTACATTTGTGGAGGAGGGTGCATATGTGTGTGCACGCATTTATCAAATACTTCAGTGCATACATATATATTTGATTAAACTGCCATGAAAACAAGTACTTTTCCCAGATATTTATCACTGTTTATATTGTGTCCAATTACTGCATATTAACCCATTCGCCCTGGATTTATGTTCTGTCCCCTGTAGTTTTTGATGAATTTGTTTACATACAGATGTCTCCACATGTGCTCAGCTAGTTACCGATCCTGATTTTTCCATTCACTGAATTGGCAGGAAAATTAATACTATTGCTATCAATACTGTTATTATTATTATTATTATTATTATTGATGTTACAATTATTAAATTGTCATTAGAATATTTTAGACAATGAAATGATACAAAAAAAAAAATCCTACAATGAAGGAAAAGTGTAAACAGGTGAAATAGGTAGTTCTTGATAACTGGCTATTTGGTGATTAAGAACTTGTGGAGCCATCTATGTGTAAATACAATAAATAAACGTGTATCAGTGGGCATGGCATCTATTCTTACCACATGGGGCGAATGGGTTTATCAAGTGCAAGCCCTTGGGGGGTACTTCAATAGAAAGGCAATACCCCTGAATAGTAAAAACAGAATAGTTTATTAAAAGTGATAAAAAAGATGATTTTCCTATGTGTAAGCTCAAATTTTTTAGGGAACCATCTGTTTTTCAACTTTTATAGAGGTTTTAAAGTCACAACCTTTCATTCTTGGTGACCTCAAAACTCCAGTACACTGATATTTGAATCATACTGCTTGCTTCCACATTCTTTTTTAGACAGTATAATTTGTTTTTTTTGTCTTTCCAAGATTCAATTTCTGTTTAGTTTGTTTCTTAAACCACAATGATGGTTCCAGAAAAAATGGTATAAAAATAATAAAGATAATAATGTCAACCCAATCAGTTTGGATGGAAAGAATACATACCATGCTAACTGTAATAAAGTTCATTTAGTTTATTTACATATACAAGTGCTTAGTCATCAAGGGGTCTGTTATTTAGTCAATATGTAGTATAAGGTAGTAGCAGAGTTGGGTAATAAAACCTACATGAAATGATACAAGAATACAAACCAATACAAAGTTCTTCTATGGAAATGTGTGTGCAAATGCTTCCCAAGGCTGCTATACATAAAAGAAAAGACATGTATACAAAATTAAAACCACATGGGTTAAACTATTTAGTACTCACCAAGAGGTTTGATTTGGCTGCTGAGAAGTCGATGTCGCAAGGAGTTTGAGGCAAAATCTGAAGCCCTACTTGAGTAAGACGGCTCACCAATTTCTCTCACCTTTTTGTCTAGATTCTGGAGAAAAGCAAAAAGATCATCTTCCTTCTCTATATGATATCTTATCTGACAAATAAGCAAATATGCAAATGCATATTAGTCTTAACCCATTCACCCCGGATTTATGTTATGTCCCCTGTAGTTTTTGATGAATTTTGTTACATACAGATGGCACCATATGTGCTCAGCCGGCAAGGAGTCTATCAGTAAGCCCTAGTTACCGATCCTGATTTTCTCATTCACTGAATTGGCGGGAAAATTAATAACATTGCTATTGATACTGTTATTATTGTTTTTGATGTTGATTATTAAATTGTCATTAGAATATTTTAGACAATGAAATGATACAAAAAACCTTTTCCTAAAGTGAAGGAAAAGGGTAAACAGGTGAAATAGGTAGTTCTTGATAACTGGCTATTTGGTGACTGAGAATTTGTGGAGCCATCTATATGTAAATACAATAAATAAACGTGTATCAGAGTGGCATCTATTCTTGCCACATGGGGCGAATGGGTTAACATAATCCTTTTTTTCCCATTTTTGATAAACTGTAATTGTCAACTAAAGAATAAGATTTAAAAAGACATTGTACTCAAATATATCCAATACAGGATCATAAATGTTGAATACTAGTTTACTTTCAATGTCTGCCTACTTTTACATACAGTATGCTGGCTACCTTCAGTTCTCTCAATAATGATACCTACCTTTGCCTGGAAAATATTCTTCATCAGAGTAATCAAACTATAACAATAATAAAAAGGTCTCACATCCTTATAAAACTCAATGATGTAACTAAATAACAATCATGCTAATTTTCCCAAACACTGTAAGAATATATATATAAAGATAAACAGATAAATAAAAATCAACTATCTAAAGGACACTAAACCCTTGTACTGAAAATTTCAACATTCTCACCTTCTGGTGATTTCCTGATCTATAATGATCAGCCACAGCATTTTCTGAATTCATTTCTCGATTGCAAATCTGGGGGTAAAAGGTGCATCATCTTAGGCATTAGCTTATCTAACATAAAAGAACTAAAAATATTTACTGTCTTGCAGTACTATAAACATCTATTGCATACAATGAAATGTAAACAAAAAACATTTATCTATAAAACATCTCCATCTCCTCTCTCTTTCATTCTCCCCCTTCCACTCTCTCTCATTCTTCCTCTTTTCTTTTTTCTTTTCATTTCTTTTCTTCTTCCTTTTCTTATAATTGTAATATTTTTTGTCAGTATCATTATTCATTATAAATCCTATTGTCATTATCTTTTTTAACATTATGATTATCAATATAATTATTATAATAATAATAACAATAAATATAATAATGGTAATAATAAAAATAATAAAAGCAAAAACAAAAATAATAATGATAAAAATAATGATAATTATTATTATAATAAAATTATTAACAATAATAATAACACTCATAATTAAATACATAAATAAAAAAATAAATAAATAAACTAACAAACTAATAAACTAACTGTCTTCTCCTCTTCTTTTTCTTCTTCCCTCCCCACCCTTCCCTCTCCCTCCCATCCCCTCTCTTTTCCTTCCTCCTTCCCTTCCTCTCTTTCTTCCTTCCCCCTCTCCCTCTCCCTCCTTCCTCTCTCTCTCTCTCTCCTCCACTCCACTCTCTCTCTCCCCCTCCCACTCTCTCTCTCTATCTCTCTCTCTCTTCCTCTCTCTCTCTCTTCCTCTCTCCCTCTCTTCCCTCCCTCTCTCTCTCTTCCTCTCTCCTCTCTTACTCTCGCTCTCTCTCTCTCCCCCTCTCTCTCTCTCTCTCCTCTCTCTCTCTCTCTCTCTCTCTCTCTCTCTCCTCTTCCTCTCTTCCTCTCTCTCCTCTCTCCTCTCTTCCTCTCTTCCTCTCTTCCTCTCTCCTCTCTCTCTCTTTCCTCTCTCTCTCTCTCCCTCTCTCTCTCTCTCTTCCTCTCTCTTCTCTCTCCTCTCTCTTCCTCTCTCCCTCTCATCCCTCTCTTCCTCTCGTCTCCCTCTCTTCCTCCTCTCTCCCTCCTTCCTCTCTCTCCCTCTCTTCCTCTCTCCCTCTCTCTCTCTCCTCTCATCTCTTCCTCTCTCTCTCTCCCTCTCTTCCTCTCTCCCTCTCTTTCCTCTCTCTCCTCTCTCTTCCTCTCTCTGTCCTCTCTTCCTCTCTCTCCCTCTCTTCCTCTCTCTCCCTCTCTTACTCTCTTCCTCTCTCCTCTCTCATCCCTCCTGTCCTCCTCTCCCTCTCTTCCTCTCTCTCCCTCTCTTCCTCTCTCTTCCCTCCTCATTCTCTCTCTCACCTCTCTCCTCTCTCTCCCGCTCTTCCTCTCTCTCCCTCTCTTCTCTCCTCTCCCTCTCTCCTCTCTCTCCTCTCTTTCCTCGCTCTCCCTCTCTTCCTCTCTCTCACTCTCTTCCTCTCTCTCCCTCTCTTCCTCTCTCTCGCCTCTCTGCTCTCTCTCCCTCTCTTTTCCTCTCTCTCCTCTCTTCTCTCTCTCTCCCTCGTCTTCCTCCTCCCCCTCTCTTCCCTCTCTCTCCCTCTCTTCCTCTCTCTTCCCTCTTTCCTCTCTCTCCCTCTCTTCCTCTCTCTCCCTCTCTTCCTCTCTCTCCCTCTCTTCCCTCTCTCTCCCTCTCTTCCTCTCTCTCTCCTCCTCTTCCTCTCTCTCCCTCTCTTCCTACTCTCTCCCTCTCTTCCTCTGCTCTCCCCTCTCTTCCTCTCTCTCCCTCTCTTCCTCTCTCTCCCTCCTCTTCCTCTCTCTCCCTCTCTTCCTCTCTCTCCCTCTCTTCCTCTCTTCCTCTCTCTCCCTCTCTTCCTCTTTCTCCTTCTCTTCCTCTCTCCTCCCTCTCTTCCTCCTCTCCCTCTCTTCTTCCTACTCGTCTCCCTCTCTTCCTCTCTCTCCCTCTCATTCCTCTCTCTCCCTCTCTTTCCTCTCTCTCTCCCTCTCTTCCTCTCATCTCCTCTCTTCCTCTCTCCTCCCTCTCTTCCTCTCTTCTCCTCCCTCTCTTACTCTCTCTCCTCTCTTTCTCTCTCTCCTCTCTTTACTCTCTCTCCCTCTCTTACTCCTCTCCTCTCTCCCCGTCTCGTAACTCTCTTCTCCCTCTCTTACTCTCTCTCCTCTCCCTCTCTTAACTCTCTCGTCCCTCTCTTTACCTCTCTCCCTCTCTTACTCTCTCTCCCCTCTCTTACTCTCTGTCCCTGCTCTTACTCTCCCATCGCCTCTCTTACTCTCTCTCCCTCCTCTTACTCCTCCTCTCCTCTCTTACTCTCTCTCCCTCTCTTACTCTCTCTCCTCTCTTACTCTTCTCTCCCTCTCTTACTCTCTCACTCCCCTCTCTATCACTCCTCTCACTCCTCATCTCGTCCTCCACTTACTCTCTCTCCCTCTCTTACTCTCTCTCCCTCTCTTACTCTCTCTCCCTCTCTTACTCTCTCTCCCTCTCTTACTCTCTCTCCCTCTCTTACTCTCTCTCCCCTACTCTCTCTCTTCCCTCTCTTACTCTCTCTCCCTCTCTTACATCTCCTCTCCCTCCCTCTCTTACTCTCTCTTCTCGCTCTCTCACACTCTCTCTTCACGCTGGTCCCTAGCCTCTCTCTCTCTCGTTTCTCCTCCTCTCCAATCTCCTCTCTCGCTCGCTATCTCTCTCTCTCGTCTCTCTCTCTCTCTCTCTCCCCTCTCCCTCTCCCGTTCACTCTCCTCCTCTCTCCTTCCTCCCTCCCTAGACAGCCTCCGCCCCCCTCCCTCCCTCCCTCCCCCTCCCTCCCTCCCTCCTCCCTCCCTCCCTCCCACCCCTCCCTCTCTCTCTCTCATCTCCTCGTTCTTTTTTCCTTAATCCTTTTCCTTTATTTTATTTCCTTCTCCTCTCTCCTCTCTTCCTCTCTCTCTCTCCTCTCTTCCCTCTCTCTCTCTCTTTTCTGCTCTCTCTTCTCTCTTTCTCTCTCTCATCTCTCTCATCTGTCTCTCTGCTCTCATCTCCTCTCTCATCGCTCCTCTCTCTCTCTCTCTCTCTCTCTCTCTCTTTTCCTCTCTCACGCTCTTCTCTCTTCTTTCTCTTTCCTCCTCTCTTCCTCTCTCTCTCTCCTCGTCTCGCTACTCTCACTCGTCTCTCTCTCTCTCTCTCTGTTCTTCCTCTCGTCTCTCTCTCTCTCATCTCTCTCTCTCTCCCTGCTCTTCTCTTCCTTCCTTCCTCATCCGTCACTCTCTCTCTCTCTCTCTCTTTTTCCTCTCTCTCCTCTCTCTCATCTCTGCCTCTCGGCTCTCTCTCTCTCTCCTCTCTCTCTTGTCCTCTCTCTCTCTCTCTCATCTCTCTCTCTCTTCTTCTCTCTCTCTCATCCTCCTCCTCTCTCTCTCTCTTCCTCTCTCTCTTCTCTCTCTCTCCTCTCTCTCTCTTCTTCCGCTCTCTCTCTCTCTCTCTCTTCCTCCTCGCTCTCCTCTCTCTCTCTCTCATCTCTCCACTCTTCCTCTCTCTCTCCTCTTCCCTCTCAACTCTCTCTCTCTCCCTCTCTCTCTCTCTCTCTCTTTCTCTTCCTGCTCTCTCCATCTCTCTCTCTCTCGTCTCTCCTCTCTCTCTCTCTCTCAATCTCTCTCTTCCTCTCTCTCCTCTTCTCGACTCTTCTCTCTCTCTTCCTCTTTCCTCTCTCTCTCCCTCTCTCTCTCTCTCTCTCCACTCTCTCTCTCTCCTCATCATCTCTCCGTCCTCCTCTCTCTCCTCTCTCTCTCCCTACCTATCCTCTCTTCTCCTCATCTCTCCTCCCCCTTCTCTCTCTTCTCTTCCTCTCTCTCTCCTCTCTCTCTCTCTCTCTCTCTCTTTCCTCTCTCCTCTCTCCTCTCTCTCTCTCTTCCCTCTCTCTCTCTCCTCTCTTCCTCATCTCCTCTCTCTTCCTCTCTCTCCTCTCTCATCTCTCTCTCTCTTCTCTCTGTCATCTCTCAAACACACACTCCTCTCTCTCCCTCTCCCCTCTCTCTCTCTCTCTCTCCCTCCCTATCTCTCTCCCTCCCCCTCTCTTCTCTTTCTTTTCCCTCCCTCTCCTCTCTCCTTTCCCCTCCCCTCTCTCCTCTTTTCCCTCTCCTCTCTCTCTCACTCTCTCTCTCTCTCCCTCTCCTCCCTCTCGTCTCTCTCTCCTCCTCTCTCTCTCTCTCGCCTCTCTTCTTCAATCTCTCTTTCTCGTTCTCTCGTCTCTATCTCTCTCTCTTTCCCCTCCCTTCTCTCTCTCTCTCGTCTTTTCCCTCCCCTCTCTCTCTCTCTCTCTTTCCCATCCCATCTCTCTCTCTCTCTCTCTCTTTCCCTCCCTCTCTCTCTTCACGTCTCTCTCTCTCTCGCTCTTTCCCTCCCCTCCCTCTCTCTCTCTTCCTCTCCTCATCTATCTCGTCCTCTCTTCCCTCCTCTCCCTCCCTCTCTCTCTCCTTCCTCTCTACTCTCTCCTCTCTCCTCTCTCTCTCTCATCTCATCTCTCTCTCTCTCTCTCTCTCCATCCCTTTTCACTCTCCTTTCTCTGTCTGTCTCTCCTCTCTCTGTCTTTCCCATCCCTCTCTCTCTACTCTCTTCTCTCTACCCTCTCCTCGGCTCTCGTACTCTCTTTCTCTTTCTCTCTTTCTCTCTCTCTCTCTCTCTCTGCCTCTCTCTCTCTCATCTCTCTCTCTCTCTTCCCTCTCGCTCCTCTCTCTCTTTTTGTTACTCTTTAAATCTTGAGTAATACCCCATTTGATTTTATCCTCTCTCTCTCTCGCTCTTTTTCCCCCCTCTCTCTCTCTTCTCTCTCTCCCCTTCCCTCCCCCCCTTTCTCCTCGCCTCTCTTTCTCTCTCTCTCCTCCCCTCCCTCTCTTTCTCTCTCTTCCCTCCCTCCTCTTCTCTTTCCTCCCTCCCCCCTCTCTTTCTCTCTCTCTCTCTCGTCTCTTCTCGCTACTACACTTTCGTCTCATTCTCTCTCTCTCCCCCTGCGTCTCTCTCCGATCTCTCCTCTTCTCTCTCTCTCATCTCATCCCCCTCTCTCATCTC